CAGAGAAGATCTAAGCCATTTTTGTCCTCAACATTTCCAATTTCTCCTTGAGACTTATTGCTAACTGCTTTTCAAACCTTTTAAAAAGGTTTGTTTTTATGGTTTTTTAATGGTGTCTGTTAGTGCGCATGATGATGAATTAGATGGACCAATTATTTAATTTGGTATAAAGCACCTTCATACGTGTGTGTGCTTGGGAACCCTGCAAAAAGTTAGGTCCTCTCTCATGCAGAGAGAGCTATCTGCATACAAGTTGTACATGTGTGGACTTGGTGGTGCCTGCAGGCCCACTCAGTGTATGGAAGTTGGGGAGATAGGGGCAGTGGGTGCCAGTGGTGTGCAGTCAGTTGACTAGGGGGACTAGGCTAATCACCTAAATGTTCCAAGAGCCCTCCCGCCACCTCCCCAAAGCCCACCTGGCTTTAGGAAGGAGGCAGCAGGGCTCCAGCATCCTGTCAGAGCCCTAGCATCTCCTTTCCAGTGTCCAGAAAGCTTCTGCCTGGCTTAGGGAGCTGTGATGTTCACACACACAATGTTGGAGACATAGTGATGTCACCCCCCATTGCCCTCACAAGCTGGCACCTCTGCTCCTGTTTCCCTATGAAACATTTCACCGCACACCGCACACTGGTAGGTTCAATCTCACAGTTTTGAATGAAGGTGCTCTAGAATTCTTACTGATTTGAAACTTTGTTAGGGCTTCACCAGACTTTGCTTTGAAATTAGTTTCAGGTCGTATGCAAAAACTCTCTTGGCAGGCCTAATGCTCTGATCTTTTCTTTGCCAAAATCACTGAATGGGGGAAACAGCTGTACAGCAATTCCTCTTTCAAATTATGTTGCTGTAATGCAGCTGACCTGTTTTTTTCCTGGGGTGTGGCCACTGTCGCTTGGAGACAGATTCTAGGAGCCACAAGTGACAGCTGAGTGCAGGGTGGGGACAAAAGGTGGACAAACTATCCCAGAAGGAGCATGACATGTCCCGCACCAAAGGTTCTATCCTGCTAACATAGTGCTTTGACTTCACCCCCAGAGGTGCACTCCATTGTCTCTCAAGACAGATGGATGCCAACTATGTCAACTTGTTTGAACATCAAACAAAGGCTAAAATTTGGGTCACATGGTAACTGCAGAAAGAATTCATGTAGAAATGTAGAAATGCTCGTGCCAAAATTACTTTCATGACCAATTTTCTTCACAACGTTTCCATACGATTTCTGTTACAGCAGTTACTCGGTACACTTTAGACTAATGTTGTTTGCTGGTATCTTTGCATACTTAGATGGTATCTCCATTACTGAGCCCAGATAATGTGTTTGTGGCATAGGATTTGTTATGGGGCTGCTAATTATGGCTGGGAGTTAATATCAAAATACAATCTGGATACTCCTTTGTGTAGGGAAGCGAGATCACCCATGATACCTGAGTACAGTAGGAATGAAGACATGACAAATCTTTGTTTAAGAAAACATGAACAAAAACTGTTCCTAGATTTTTTAAAAAGTTGAATCATTGTATGTGGCAGCCACATATTGTCCAAATAGGGACTTGTGTTTTAAAGAGATGGGCCCCAACATTGTGAGTGATAGGATAGCACTTCAAAAGGAATGAGTAGGAAAAGATGCAGGTCACGACACAGCATAGGTTTAAGCACTGAATAATGAATGCAGCTAACTAAGCTCTTTTCTTTTGAGATTTTTAAGATAAAGTGGTTGTTGTTAACTCTGCTGTGTTAACAACATTCTTTAGTTGACCTCTTTTGTAATGTTTCATTCTGAAATATTTTGAAATGGTATTTTAGCTTCCTGTTAATCATGTTGCTTCAAATGTATGCTGGACTTTCTTCAGTGATGTTTTATTCCAGATTGTTTTATTTGATGTTTTAACATAGGTTGTAAACTGCTTTGAGATTATTTAAAATTAAAAATATAAAGCAGTATAGAAATGAAATTAATATTAATATTAATAATGTAGGCAATATTTTAGGGTGACAATGGAGTGGGGACTAACCATGGCAGTGTAACTGCTAGTCAGGGCATTAACTGTAACCCTACTGGACCATTAGATCTATCTGGTGGGTTGTATCCAACTTTGTGGCCTGCAGCTTGTGTTAACTCAGCTTAAGAGCAGTTTTTTTATTACTTACCTGGGGAACAGACGGAGTGTTGAATAAGCTGATAGCCAACTGTAAATTGACACAGAGGACTGGGAAAATAGGCAAGACAAGCTGAATGACTTAATGAACTGGGGTTAATAAAACACATGTAATTCAGCATACAAAGAGCATAATGAAATGGTTTAGAGAGAAATAACTTCTTTGTCATAGCTTGGGGTATCTTTAGATGAAAAGAATGGGAGAAGAGAGATATCAGGGAACTTTTGTTAAGCGTAACATGAAGGAGAACCGTGTTTGTGCCTGTCGGACCTTGCGTTCGACCAAGTTCCTCCTCCGGTCGAGTCCTCCGATGTGATTAACGACCTGAGCCTTTGATGAGGCTCCAGGCACGTTGCCCTATTACGCAGAGTATCCAGCACGCAGGGAAGGATGAGAAATATGAGCTATATTGCAAAGAGTTTTATTTCTAACTACGCAGACAGAAAAGAAAAATACATCCTCTCTCTGTGAAAGCAGAGAGGCAACCGGAACAAAGGAACAGGAAACCAGTAATATAAACATCCGTCTCCCGTCTCCTGTGAGACTTCCAACAGTCTGGAATCCCTGGAATGTAAACAGAGTTCTGTGACTCCAAGCACTGCACCAGTGGCACAAACAGAAACCTAACAGTGCCAACCTTCGAAATTCACACTAATCTGAATTTTGCAATGCATTTCTTCACCCAAGCAATGTGTAAAAAAATGCATTTACTAAGATAAAAGTATACATAAAAATGCATATATCTGTAAAAGCAACATGCAAAAAGGCATTATATTAGGAGGAAATATATGCAAAAATGTGTACAAAATTGCGTATAAAATGTGTATATTAGGAGAAATTAGCACTAGAATGGGAAAGAATCTTAGAGGGGACTTAAAAAAAATCTCAAACTGATGTGGAAATGTGAAGCTCTGAAGATTGGAAAAGCTGAAAAAGTGAAATGGACATATTTTCCCATCCCTAGTTCCATGCTTATATGAGTTTTTGATTCATTTATTGCTTCTGCAAGATTTATACATATATCTGGATATCTGTGTGTAGATTCTTCCTCTTGCTGGATGTGATCTCACAAGTGTAAAACCACCAGAATCTGGAATTGCAAGTGCTGTTTAGTGACAGATAGGGCTTTTATTGGTGTAATAAGGGTTGGTTTAATAAGTTTTGACAGTACTCACCACCTTTTTCAAATAACGTATGGTGCCATGTCAATGTGCTGCATGTACTGTATGCCACTGAAATTGTGGGAGCTTCATTCTGCTCCTGCTGTTGCTGCAGTGCCAGGGCACTTGGCATGGTTTGGCTTGTTATGTTGTCCTAGCTCAGGGTCGTAGTTTGTTTCTCACCACACAAACCACAAGAGGAAACTAATGTTTGTTATTGTCTTGCCGTTTGTGGTTTGTCTGGGGAAGAAGAAGAGTTTGGATTTGATACCCCGCTTTATCACTACCTGAAGGAGTCTCAAAGCATCTAACATTCTCCTTTTCCCTTCCTCCCCCACAACAAACACTCTGTGGGGTGAGTGGGCTGAGAGACTTCAGAGAAGTATGACTAGCCCAAGGTCACCCAGCAGCTGCGTGTGGAGGAGCAGGGAATTGAACCCGGTTCCCCAGATTACGAGTCCAATGCTCTTAACCACTACACCACTCTGGCTCTCTGGGAAAACAAATCATGAGCCCTGGTTCGGATGACACAGCAAGCCAGACCATGTCTCATTTTCGCAGAAAACATGGTTTTTAGACTTCTTCTTTAATTGCAAAAGTACCTCCCTTTTCATTTCTTTACTGAAAAACAGTTATAGGATACTTACCACCAAGGCACTTAATAAGGAAGTCACACAAGTTGCTTAACATCAGAAAAGCTACATGAAAAGAAAGTAATAAGGATTGTGAATGTTGCTAAACCAGCTTCGAAAGAAGTCAATAATGTTTCTAGGTGCTGAAAAAGTATTCCAGAAAATGGAATGGATTTTGTTTTGTTTGTTTCAAGCATTTTCAACTTTGGAGCTCAGTTTTTATTTTTAATGAATAAAAATAATGTAAAACATAATGTAAGAATCCAGCCTAGGACAAGTACAAATCAAAATTACCTTCACAATGTAATTATGTAGTACAATAAGTTCGCACTTAAATGGTTATTAATGTCCAGCAGTTCATAATATGAGCAGCTTAAGTAATAAAGACCAACATATTGTACTCTTCAAAGACGCAGATCAATTCATGATCCCTGCTGAGTCCCTACCTTATACAGCCAAGAACCATTCCCAAAGTGTGGACTTCATGTTCCTTTAAAACAGGCAATGGACACGAGCTCAGAACCTGCAATTTCAGAAGGAAGAACAAGTGCCTGTGTTCAAGTTAATGAGTTTTAAAGAGATGGGGCTCAAATTTCTGAGTGACAGGGTAGCATTTCGAAAAGAATGACTAGTGAAAAGATGTGGGACTCCGTCCAGCATAGATTTAAGCATTGGGGAATGGATGTGGCTAATAAAGCTGAGGAAAATGATGGGATATGATTCTGCTAATGTGCAGATGTAGGCAACAGGATGGGGAGTAACTGTAGTGATATAAATAAATAAATTTATTAATGTGAATGCCAGACTGGCAGTAAAAACAGGGTGTTGGTTGTGGCTCCAGTGGAACATCATACAAGCTGATGGGTTGTGTACAGCTTTGTGACTTGCAAGTTGTGTTGACCAAGTTTAAGGGCAGTTCTTTCATTAGGTACATGATCACCTGAACGACTTCATGAAGTGGGAGTAATAAAAACATATGTAGTTCAGCATTCAAAGAACAACAAAATGACTCTCTCTCTTTTTGCATTGCTTGGGAACTTTTCAGGTCACAATCATGGAAGATGAGAGAAAACATGGCATCTTTGTTGAATCCAACAAGATGGTGAGCCATGTTTGTGATGCAGCTTCAATGAAGGTCAGTGTAATTCTTGAGTGAATCCGGGTGTGGATTTTCGGGTAGAATTATAACTACTATAATTTTCAGTCCCAGATTTCTTCCCTGTGCTCCTTCTCTTTGCATTGTAGTTATAAACACTGTAAGGGAAAACACATGTTAATTTAGGGAAAACAGCTTGGGAAGGACAATTAAAACAGGCATATGCATGCTCTGTAGATTGATCATATCATCAATATTGCATGTGGGTTGTGTAGGAAAGGTTGTAACTTTTAAGTAGCAAGTTGTATCAATCAGCTACTTGTAGGAATCCTTTGTGTGTGGTGTTGAATGAAAGATGTATCTGATGCATACAAAACAATTATGCAAATGATGCCTGTGGTGACATTTTACATTGCGCAAGGCTGGGAAGCCTTAACAAATGCAAGAGTGAAGTCACTGGTTTCAAAACCTTGGAATTTGAGCACTATGCAGTTTGCTTCACCTGCTATGTGACTAAGCTCAGGAAGCAGAAATACTTAGTAAAAGATATCTGTTCGGGTTCCTTCTATTGTATGTAGAGTGATCTCAGTTATTGCATGCTGAAAATGTACAGGAGTTTTCATTTTAATTGATGAAGCCTGTGTTATGTTACATTAATGCCCACTGCAATGCGCCTGGGAGGAAATGGGTGAGATTTATGTTCTCTAACTTTGTTTTTCTTTTAAATTTTTAATTAATGGTTTCCTGCTGGGACTAGTATCATGGCATACCCTCCCATTTTTCCCTAACAAAAATCCAGGACATTTCCCACCTGCTCGCTGCCTCCCAGCCTTGCCCTATCCACCAGCCCTCCTCACCCCTCTCACCTTCACTGCTTGCCATCTCTGCCTGCCATATGCCCCACTCACCCTTGCCCCCCTTGCCTGCTGCATGAAATCGGGGCACCCTGAGATGAAAGCAGAACCCAGGGTGCCTTCTTAAAAGGGGGGCGATCCCACTTACAACTGGACACTTGGCAGGTGTGTCATGGCACTTATGGTGGGGACCTGTACACAAGGCTGGAATGCAGCTGGAGGTTATCAATAAAGGTTAAAACGTATAGAGGCTATCTTTGCCAATTATTAGAATTGTTCTTATGAACAAAGGGTAGGTACAACGCAAATCGCAATGAGTTGGTTTTTTTAAACCCCCCCCAAACAACAACAAAAAACCCCACAGCAAACCAGTGTGCTGTATTTTTGCTTTTGTTGCATTTGCCTGTTCAGACCCAGAAACTTCCACCTAAATAAATTCACACATGACTCAAATTTTGGTTTGGGTTTTTGGCATAATTTAGGCCACAACTTTATTGATTACAGAAAGTGACTGGTTGCATAGGCTCTGGTTTGACTAGCTCCCTGCCATGCAGGTAGCGCTGACCCAGGGTTCCAGCATAAGTCAGCCAAGGGTGAACACCTGGATAAGCGGAAAGCTGGGAATGGGCTAACTCTGCCACCCAAATGTCCCCCTGGACTCAGGCACAACCCCCTCTCAGGGGTTGACCAAAGCATTGAGTCCCTGGATTCCTTTAATGGAATACCCTTCACATAGGAATGGCGAGAGCGTTCTCCCATCCCTATCACCTCTTTAAGGGAGGGCCCGATATATCATTCAAACTCCTGCTCCTCCAGTTTCTGCTCTGCTTTCAACTCACTACATTTCAAAGCTTAAAGAGGCATCTTTTGCTTTTTGCCACTACTGTTCCTTCTAGGCATTTCACTGGTGCCTTTGCATTGATTTTGCAGCAGCTTCTCTTCCTGCCTCTCTGACAACATGAATCACCTTCCTCCATCACCTTTCTTTCTGCCTGCCCCAGGGGAATCTCCTCTTCCCTGCAAAGAGTGGAAGCTATTTGTTTGTGATTATTCTCTTACCACCCGGACAAATAGCACAAGCCCTGCCAAACAGAAGGCCTTAATGCTTCTTTGTTTGGGTGCAAAAGACCAGAGGTCTTTATTCCCATCTACCCTTCACTACTGCTGTGACTCAGGATGCAAATCCTTATGAAATAGCTCTTCAGACCTTGAACGATCTCCTTCCTCCTTCCTGCTTCCTCAATGTGGTGTCTGAATATTATAAATTTTATTCAAGTGTTCAAGTACCAGGGGAGCTGATTAGATGTAACACCACTACATGTGCTGAGTGCTACTTGTGATGTGCAGCTGAGGGCATGCTCAAAGAGGGCCACATTGTCCTGGAACATCTTCATCCAAATTTCAAGAGAAACCGCTAATGGAAAGGAAGCTTACTTTCAACACATTTGTTAATAGCTCGAAAGACTGAGAATGTCATTCCGTGGTCCAAATGGCATCACCATTGTCTCAGGCTTCTCAAGTCATGGATGTGCAGGTAGTTCAAGGCAGTATCTTCAAGTAAACCCCCCCCCCACTTCAGTACTGTCAAGCAAGGCAAATTTGCAGGTCCTGGTGGCAGTAAGGAGAATATAGTAAAGGGGGGGGGACATAATCATATTTCATAAGACCCTGTATAGAAGAAGGATGAGCAAATCCTGTTGGGGGAGGAGAGAAGTGCCAAACTCTCTAAGAGGGGTGGGTAAAGTGTGGCCCTCCAGATTGTTGTTGGAATACAGCTCCCATTGACCTTGTTCATTGGGGCTAATGGAGAGTCAGCAGTATCTGGCAGCCTGCCAGTTCCCCAACTCTTGTCTGTAACTTTGGTCCAATGGCATTTTATTTACGTGGGTGTATTTTATCTCTTAGGGACGCGGGTGGCACTGTGGTGTAAACCACAGAGCCTAGGGCTTGCTGATCGGAAGGTTGCAGTTCGAATCCCCGCAACGGGGTGAGCTCCCGTTGCTCGGTCCCTGCTCCTGCCAACCTAGCAGTTCGAAAGCACATCAAGTGCAAGTAGATAAATAGGTACTGCTCTGGTGGGAAGGTAAATGGCATTTCCGTGCGCTGCTCTGGTTCGCCAGAAGCGGCTTAGTCATGACTTGGAAAAACAGTCTGTGGACAAATGTTGGCTCCCTCAGCCAGTAAAGCGAGATGAGCGCCGCAACCTCAGAGTCGTCTGCGACTGGACTTAACTGTCAGGGATCCTTTACCTTTACCTATTTTATCTTTTACTACTGTGCTTTTGTGATATCTGTTACTTTTTCTTCTTCTTCATGGTGAACTGCCTTGAGCGTTGCCCAGAGAAAGGAAGTAAATTCACTTTAAGTGTTCCTTATATATTTCTCCTTTCTCCACTTTGACTTTCAGGTACAGGTACCTCCCTTCTGTTTGCTCTCTGTACGTGTTATAAGAATTAGAAATCTCCAGCGAGCAGATGTGTGTGAGTATCTGGCAGATCCTGAGTAGCTATAAATCTGTCTCACAAAATGCTGGCATATAAATATGGATTGATTTAATATTAAGATCCTTTTTAAATATTGATTTTAAATTTTTATATATTTAATGATATTTAAATAAATATATTTAGTGAAAAACATTTAATGAATATTTTCATTCATTTTATATTGTTACTGTTTAATGGAAGCCACAGTAGTCATTGGCACTGTAGGCTCTGTTGACATGTTGGTGTTGCTTGGCCAGATTCAGTTAGACAGATGTGCTAGCAGGAGACAGTGCAATAAGTCACTTTTGCACAACAGGGCTTTCCCCCATCTCCTTCCACCATGCACCCCCCAGACCCCCCAAAATTGGCTCTGAAAGGTCAGAAGAACCCCCAAACAGTGTGCAGGGGGAGAAGAGAGGAGATTGCTCTGTGTGGGAAGCAGAAATACTTGTGCTGCCATAACACAGCACAACAACGTGGAATTCCTCCCAAAATTCCTTGCCTGCCTATGCTGTCTGTTGAGAAGGAAAAGGCAGATGCTACTCTTTGCATCATGAAATATAGCATTTAGAACACCGATTGCAATAGCCACCAACAAGCTTTCCCATGTGATCTGTAATCATAGTATCATTTCAAAATAACATGATCCTGTAATTATTTATTTGCCAGAAGAGCAGGCTGTTATTCAACAGGATTTAGATAGGAAAATGATTAATAGGATTGACTTGTTTGATATCTTGTTCCTAATACTGTGTGAACATGAGATATTCCAAATTACAAGGTGTATGTTAGAAGGACAACAACCTTCTTTTAATTCACAGGTGGCTAGGCGGTGGCCCTCTAGATGTTGCTAGGGCTCAACTCCCATAATCCCTGACCACTGGGCGTGCTGGCTGGGGCTGATGGGAGTTGGAGTTCAATGAATCCACTCACCTTCTATGGTGGGCGGTGTTGTGGCCAGACCACAGGCCATACCAGTGATCTGACCAATGGCTGGTTGGATTGCCCTGCTGGCAATTGGCCAATGCCATCAATCTTAGGATACTTGTTCCCTGGGGAGTGGGCCCAACTGAGCAATGAGCAGCACTCGGGCCCACTCCCAGGGGTGGTGGTGAGATAAATTGTGGCCTGCCTGGCGCTCTTCCTCTGCCTTTTAACATCCGCGGTGGAGGACACAGGTTCACCAACCATGTTTTAATTGATCGAGGACACTATATTTCTAGATATAGCACTTTGTAAAATAAGAGTGTATCTGTCTTTTTGAGACTAAATGACTTAAACTCCACCCCCAAAACCAACACATAGTAAGAAAATTGATTGTTATGTAAGTACTGTACTCAATTCACAGTCAAGAGCTTCTTTATTGCTTGACTGGTTGCACAAGCATTTCTGTTACTATTATATACAATCTATTTACATTCCTTGTTTATCTCTCCAGCACGGTATAATCTCAGTCTAGTAATTAACAATGCTGACACAGCAAAACTCACAGTATCAGCAGCACACATGGTCTTACTTCTAAACTTGTTGTCAGTGTGTGTGCTGACAGTGTGTGTGTGTGTGTGTGTGTGTGTGTGTGTGTGCTTTCCTTGTGCAGAAATCGTACCTCCCTTTATTTGCACCTCCAGCTGACACCAATCAAGCCTAGAGTGCCACTCCTACACACTAAAGAAAAGTTCTGGAACCCTCTTTAAAGCTTCCAG